AATGACCGATACCAGTTCTAATGAACAACTATCATTTTGGGAGATATATTATGTTAATCTATAGTAACAGTCCTTTAGTAATAGTTATTATTATTATTATTATATTATTATACAATAAATTTTGTGTCCTATAATTGTTGGCAAAGTAATAAAAACCATGTGTGTTTCGGACGAAACCTAAATAAATATATTTATATTTATATATATATATATAAAAAAAGATTTAATCCGATAAAGTTAATAAATAATTAGTTATTATTAATTAAAATAACCGTGTACAATGTACATGGTATATAATATATATATATATATAATACAAGCTTACAAAATCATTATCACGTAAGTTCTCAGAAACCACTCATCCGATTATCTTTATTTTTCTTTATTTTTTTTTTTAAATGAAAGAGTATATCATGGAGCAAGTATTAGCATATATTGAGTCCGATAAAAATGCGGGCGTAAAAAGAAGATCCTTCTAAAAATACATTACCATTCAGCTTTTTTTATAGGCGATTAAGGCACATCACTGTTCTACACAGCCTCCTCCATTCCTCTCTATCATTTGCCACTTCTTACAGGTTCTCAGCCCCAAGTATCCTGAAATAATTGTTGGGCTCCTCTATCCACCTTTTCTTCGGTTTGCCCAATGGTTCACCTGCCTAACAGTCTTCCGGTTACTAGTTAAGCGAATTCTTCATTATGCCATTCAATCTCCATCGTGACTAAGCCAGCTCATTTTCCTGCCTTTAAGTGTTTGTATAATGACCTCTTCTCCCAACAAGTCTTTAATTTATTTATTGGGTCTTATTTCATATTCACCTGATTGGTCATTTTTTTTTTTTTAGACCAAAAATACGTCGAAGGAATTTCTTTTCTAAAAACAACCAGTTCTGTATCGTCCTCTTTTGACGTTGGTCATGTTTCGCATGAGTATAAAATTACTGGTATCACTAAAACATTTTATTATCTCATATTTTACTTTTTTGATAATACCTTGGACCTGAAGGTTTTCTGTAACGCAAAATAACACGCTATAATAARTAACGCTAAATAACGTTATTTCACACTTTTACTCTCATGTTTATTTCATCGTGGTGATTGTTACGACTATTTATATCCACTCCAAGATATTTGAAGCTCTCTACGTTTTCAAAACAAGTATCTCCGATGTCCAAATTTCTGTTTTGTTGTAGTTAGTTACCTCTCTTAACTACCATATATCTATATAATATATATATATATATATATTAATTAATTGCAATTCGTTGGTCTCACTAAAACTCGAGAACGGCACGACCGATTTGACTAATTTTGGTCTTAAATTATTTGTGGAAGTCAAAAGAAAGTTTAAAATGTGAATGAATATCAAAGTCTTATTATTTTTAAACATTTTTATTTATAGATGTAGATTGATAATTTGAAAGTTATAATATGGAGATCTAGCATTTATGGTCTATGTCCATCCTATTTGTCAATCGATACCTCAGACAAAGAGTCCATCCTTTTATCTTTGTGAGTGATTATTACCGCTACGTACGCGATAACTTTCTTGACTTCGGTGATTCTTGGTAATAGTGAGATAACAAGTTATATTCTCTTTTGTTATAGTGACACGTTACAGCTAAGTACGTGAAAACATTTCTCATTTTGATTAATTACAATTTACGATGCTGATGATAAGACGACCTGACATTGATTGTTACACTCAATCAAATGTACGAAGAGCTACCTCACAATACAGATCAAGAAATTAGTCGTATTGCCATGTCGGAATTGCGTTCTTTAGTGAGTGACAACAAAGTAGATAGGCTTAGAATGCAACGAGTTTGTGCAAATCAAACACGACATATAATGCAATTGASTGAATTGCTACATAGCCAAACACCAGTTGATAGACATAACATCACTGCCAAAAATTTTAAATTAAAAAATAGATTCTTCTGGGAGTAGACATGGAAACTGCAGGAATATATGGAAACGTATCAAGGGTTCGAATCCCTTTCTCACCAAAAATTTTAAATTAAAATTAAAATCTCTTATGAATTTCTTATTAAGCATCGCGTGTAAGACCAAGCCCGTTGATAGAATGGAAATAGCGTAGTCTGTCACATGCGCACATTTTAGTCTGATTGGTGGACAAAATAAGGCTAGATGAGACTGATGCCAAAATTTTAGCTAAAATTCTCTATGTTCTATTCTAATGTAATAGTTATATGCAGTAGTTATCAAACACATGATACATGGACCTTGCGGAGTTTTCAACTACAATTCAACCTGTATGGTCGACGGCAAGTGTTCCAAGAGACCTGATTGCTGAAACCATAACGGGAAATTATGGATACCAATTTTATCGTCGGCGATCAGTTGCTGAAAATGGGCGATCGGTAATTGTGAAGGTAAGATATTACCTTGGTTGAGTATATGAATAATTTAACATAATTTGTTAAAACATTAGTCTCATTCAATAATGTAATAAATATAGCGAAATAGTAAATTTACAAATAATTCATTATTCAATTGAACTCGCTTTAAGCMTCTAGTACAAGCAATGTTCTCTAAGTTTAAATTTTGAAGCATGTTTTTATTAGGCATATACCTATTTAAACTGATGGCTTTCACAAACTAMATTTCWTTAGATACCTATTTTAGATTCAAACTAGATATGTATCTTACTATATTAATATCGTATACTTACATATACATTGTATGCATTGTATATGTTGAATGTAAACAACACACCCTAAAGTATGTAGATTATAAGTAAAATTATTCATACTGTAGTACAGCAGACGTTGAATAGGCATTTTGTATTACTAGCATATTCGTTCTATGTAGGTGTAGGACGATTAGTCGTTGTTTTATATKACGCCTCGGAGCACTATAGTTATTCGTATCAATTATACATATTATTATATTATTACATATTATATCCGATCTTATTATTATTTACCTTTAGCTTCTGTGTATCTGGTGTACTTCAACAGGTTATAGGCCCAGTATAGTAAGGAAATTATAATAAAGTCGGGTATGTTTGATACAATAATTAATGATTTACGAATCGCGTCTTTGTGTACAGATAGTGTGCAGCAATAATAATTCGTGAAGTATAGTGCAGTGCAGTGTTAGTGCATCGCGTGAAGCACAGAATTGTGTTTGTTATTATTACATTTATAGTGTACAGACATTGTACAGATAACTCGTTATTATGGTAAACGAATCTATAAAAATTAATAAACTAACCGGTAATGACAATTGGGAAACATGGAAATTCCAAATTAAAGTCATAATGACTGCAGCCGATATATTTGATGTTGTGGCCGGAAAATCGAAAAATCAAGTTCGGAAACTGAAGAAGATGCAAGAAAAAGGTATGGTGTAGATAATACTATATATAAAAAGCGGCCAACAAGGCTCAAAAGTATATAGTCACGTCAGTGGATGAACAACCACGGCAGTATTAATATAATGAATTGTGACACGGCTAAGGAAATGTGGGACAATTTGCTTAGTGTATATTATAAACAAAAGCCGAACTCTAGTGTAACGTTGATTCAACAAAAGTTCTACAGCTATGTTAAAGACCCAAATGACAATATGGCGACTCATATTTCGAAATTGGAGAGTCTTAGAAGAAAATTAAAACAGTTAGGTGAACCAATATCCGACTCAATGCTTATGACCAAGATACTATAATGACTTTGCCAGAAAATTATAAACATTTCTACAGTGCGTGGGATTCGATACCTAATGTAGACAAAACATTGTCTAATTTGTCATCTAGACTCATGGTAGAGGAAACAAGACAAACTCAAAGTTATGATGATGAGAGAGATACTGCAAACAGTAGTGCATTTTCGGAAAAGAAATCGTTTGGAACAAATAAGGAAAAACGTACGAAAATTGGCAATTCTGAAAATCAATGGAACAATGATAAAAAAACCAGACAAGTGTAATCATTGTTAAAAACCAGAGAATTGGAGACGTGAATGCTGGATTTTCTTAAAAGAACAAAAAGAAAGAAATAAGAGCAACTCAGGAAATGCGTTGGTTGGTGTACAATCAAATGACATCAAAATCAACGAATCACAAAAATGGTATGTGGATTCAGGTGCTAGCGAYCACATGACYARCAKAAGAGAATGGTTCAGTAACTATGAGTCATTTGAAGTTCAGTTACCAGTACGTATTGGTGATGGCAAACATATCATAGCAATTCGCAAAGGGAATATAAATGTTCAAACGAAAATCGGTAATAAATGGGTTGACAGTCATTTGTCAAACGTTTTACATGTATCTGATCTTAAGGTAAATTTGTTTTCATGTGGAGTGTGCCTTGAAAAAGGTATAAAAATGATAACAGACAGCGATGGATGTACATTTAAAAGGAATAATCAAATAGTTGCTATTGGAGTTCGTGAGAATAAAATGTTTTCAATGGTTCTGAAGACAAAGCCAGTGCAAGAAGCTGAACAAGCAAATATTGCAGTTAAAACTCTCACATTTTTACAGTGGCATGAAATGTTGAGTCATCAGAATGTCCAATATGTCCGGAGCTACTTGAAACATATGCGGATTCCATTTACAGAAACGAAAAAAATATTTTTCTGCGAAGCTTGCATTTATGATAAACAACACAGAAAGCTATTTACACTGAGAAATACAAAAACTACAAAACCAGGTCAATTAATTCACAGTGATGTCTGTGGTCCTATGGAGGAAAATTCACTTGGAGGTAAACAGTATTTTGTTATACTCAAGGATGTTTGTTCTAAATATCCATATGCGTATTTTATGAGCCAAAAATCAGAAGTTAAAAATAAATTTTAACTATTTTTAAATACAGTCAAAAATCAGTTATAATTGCAGTAATTACTTTAAGAAATGATTGTGGTCTGGAATATAAAAATACTGAAGTAAAAGCCTCATTGGATAAATGTTGAATAAAATATGAGACGAGTGAACCATACACACCCCAGAAAAATGGAAAGGCTGAAAGATCAATGCGAACATTTGTAGAAGTGGCCAGAACTATGTTATATAGAAAAAAATTATATATTAAGACACTTCGGGCAGAAGCAGTGAATACAGTCGTGTATACAATAAATCGTACAGGTAACACAGGTCAAGAAGGAAAAACACCTTATGAATTATGGTTCAATAAAACACCACATATAAATCATCTGAAAATTTTTGGTAGTGAAGTATATGCACATGTACCAAAAGAAAAACGAAGAAAATGGGATCAAAATGGTAGAAAAGGTATTTTCGTTGGATACTCAGAAGAAACCAAAGGATATCGTATAGGCTTTTTGGAAGAGAAACTTTAATAAGCAGAGATGTAATATTCAAAGAGTCAACAAGTCCATCTACAGCTACACAAGTAAAAATTATAAATAAAGAAGAAGAGGAAGAAATAAATTCGGAAGGTGAAGCTGGAGATGAGGAAGACAACAACGACGACGAAGAAAAGTTGGATGATGATGAACAGATRYCAATAGGAGCTGAAGAGCAAACAAGAATGACACTCAGAGACAGAGGAAAACTCAATAAACCTATAAGGTATAGAGATGCATTATTTTCAGCATGTAATGATCCAGTTACATACGAAGACGCTATGACAGGTGACAATTAAGATGATTGGAAGGCAGCAATGAACGATGAAATGTTGTCATTGAATAAAAATAAAACATGGACACTTGTGGAC